ATCTATCTATCTATCTATCTATCTATCTATCTATCTATCTATCTATCTATCTATCTATCTATCTATCTATCTATCTTATCTTGTCGTCCTAACATCTCAACTGGGGCATATGAAAACAAACTAAAAAAACAAAAAGAACATACCAATAAAATAAAGCAGATACTGATCTTAACAAAGTAATAAACTGCTAAAATAATTGAATAACCTGATTATACAGTCATATGGAATTTATGTTAAATGTCTTAAAATAACTGAGACTGTGGTCAACATGGCTGGATGAAGACCAACATTTATCTTGGGAGTGTAGGAGCGTTGGGAAGTTAGATTAAACACAATCTGCGAACCTAATTTTTCAAATAGCTTTACAAATCTGTGTGAAGGATTCCATTATATTTTTCATATAGAGTATCTAAACACAACTTTGAGTACCCATAGTAACAGTACACATTTATGAAACAACACAAAATAAAGCTTCTAAAAGTTAGTTTATTTAATGCAGATTTAATATTTTGCACAGATTAAATTTTATTGCATTGTTCAAAATGTAAATTCATTAGTTTGTTGTGGAGTCCAGAGTTATTCCAACAGCATGCGGATGCTATTCGCATGAAAAGTCTTCATCAAAAATCCATCCAATACTGAGTTAGAATGAACAAATGAAGCACTGACTTGATAGGAAGGGAAGGATTAAAATATCCTTTTATCTTACAGTCTTTGAAATCATTAGGTTTTTTATATATTTTTGCATATACAAACACATTCATAACTATGTGCAATTTAGAACCACCTTATTTGGTTCTAAATTTAGAACCACCTTATTTGCATGTTTTTGGACTTTTGAACCGCAATGTCTTCCTAAATAAATGTAGGAGACATTTAAGCACATTTAAAATTAACAAGACCTGATGACCCATCAAGCGACAATACAGTACAATATTTTGATTTCAGGAGCAAGAAACATTAAAAGATGATGATAATAATATTGCTTTTTATTTATTTATTTTTTTTTTGTGACAAATGCTAAAGGATTCACTAAAGGACATTTATCATTGTCATGTTTTTGTTGTATACCTGTAAAAAATCTATTAAAAAAAAGTAAAAAAAAAAAAAAAAAGATGATGATGATAATATAATTCAAGCATTTTTTGTGGTTTTACAGGAACAAAGCATCTTTCTAAATGAATATGATTTTGCTACATTCACCTTTTTAAAATTTAGATTGGCAGATATTTATTGTAATCTCTAAATATATAATGATAAACATATTTGCAGAATGTTTTCTATAGAAAAGTCTATCTGCCTGTAAATTGAATCTTAACAGAAAACAGGTGCAATGAGAACGGAAAATATCAGTGTAAGAAGAGAAATCAAGAGGTTAACGCAAGGGAAACAATCAGTCAAATAATCAGAGTTACTACGACAAAACAAATTAAAAAAAATCCTTCAAGCTGCTGTGGAGGGATAATCCATTCCTAAAATAGTGGCTGCTGTTTACTCAAACTCTGTTATCATCTGTCTGCTTATCACAAAGACCCTTTCAGGTCAATAAAGAGGTCTGTTTTGTTTTATCTACCTAACTGAATTTTTTTCCCCATATAAAGGACTTGTTTTAATATCTGAGGGTGTGTTTGAGTATCTGGGAGGGAACAGGCTCAGAAACAATAATGATGTGAGTTGGAGGAGGAAGCTGAACCTGAGAACTACAGCAGCTGGAGACGTAACAAGGTACAACTTGTGCTTCTTAGACTGGAAGCAGGTAGTTTTCTTTGTCACAAGAACTCCAACTGGTAAGATGATCAAGTCCTCCTGCCTCCACTAAATCCATCTGGTAGTGGGATACTGGGACTTCAAAAAGACAGCCGGAGGAAAACAAAAGAAAAGCAGGTCATTGAAGATGATTTCCTTCTTGTTTCTGCTGCTTCTAGCTCCATATGTGCTCTTCTCCTTCACATGTAAGTAAGTCATTTCATCTTGCCTCCAAACCAGGATGCTCCGCAATGAGACACACACATTAGATAAGCATCTATAATTTTAATTCTATAGCTTTATCATTTGTATTTGGTTTATTGTCACATCTTAGCTTGCATCAAATAATTGTACATGGACTAGTTTAATAAAAAAAAGCTAAATATTCACAAAAAAAAACAAGTTTTACGCATAACACAAATACTTTGCAAAACCTTTTCTTGGGAGTTTTTGCTAATACATGACAAAGGATCCATTTTTAGAGGGAATTAATCTATGCTAAATCATCCTAAACACAAATAAAAAAAACAGAAGTACTGCACCAAAACATAAGAAAGAATAGTATATAAGGAAATCTTTTATACTTCAGTTGTTAATTTTTTTTAGACTTTAGAGACTTAAAACAGATTTTATTTGCCATTTTGTTTATGCAAGTGTAAAACAAAAAGAAATTTCGTTTGGAAACAGCTCACTGGACAATTTCATCTTTTAAAAGAGCAGCCTTGAAAAATGGTAAAAATGGCTGTAAATTTACAGTTTTAACATTTTTTTTTAATGATAAAATAACCTAAAAACAGGTGTTTTATATCATAGTTGACATTATTCCTGAAAATAGAGATGAAATATTCACTTTTCTGCTAATTAAAAAAATAAAAGATGAATCTGTAGTGTTTTTTTTTTTTTGTTTTGTTTTTTTTTGGTACTTTAACAAGAAAACATGTAAAGACGTGCTGAGATTTAGTTAATGACTGAGAATTGACATGCTTGTACTTTTCAGTTGAAATGAAAGCAATCATTTCAGGTATTTTTATTCAACCTAACCCACAGCAATCTAATTAGTTACTTTTATTAATATTATTATTACATGGAGCATAATTCAAAATATGGTCGCACACTCAATAATGAGTGAGTGTCAAAAACCTGCAGTGCTGTTAATTAAGCCCAGTAGGTTTATTTAAGAGTTACGGTGGGGACATCAATCACACCAGCAAGCTTTATGCTTAAAAGATTATTCATGTATGGAAAAACAACGTTTAATAATTTTTGCTGGAAAACACCAGAGAACCTTTTGATTACTGCTGTGACAGCTCTATTTATCTTCTTCATTATGATCTTATAAATGCGAGCAGAGCTCCTACTTAATTGTAGTGCAGCGTGGCTGCATTTTCTAAAGATCACTAAGGAAGAAAAGACAAATATGTTGTGATACTGAAATGTGGTCATGTCTCACGATCTCTTATAACACTGAAACCAAAGAAGCCTTTCCTTTTTTTTTTTAGCGCTGTAGAATGAAACAATCTAATTAAACTCCACCTTCTTAAATATTTAAATAGGAGAGTTCAGTGAAACTGAGCAAGTTTAACTGAACGTTCAGCAGCTTTTTTTCTTGTATACTTCGAGTTCTTCCTCTTCATTGTGAATTAAGGCACATTTAGGCAGGAAGCTATTTTTTTTATTTATGAAACTCTATAGATTTCATTGTATTTTTCCCTATTTTGAGGCACAGAGAACTGAACTTACATCTATGCTCCAGAGAAAAAAAATGATTAATAAAATTCAGATTTCCTCAAAGTAATGTTCATGGATGTAAGTTTTTGATTTTTTTATCATAATAAATTCCCCATGTATAAATAATTTCGTTTTTGCTAAACGAGTCTTCAGGTTTTGTACATTTGTTTTGAAGAAACTGTTAGTTTGTTACTTTATGTATTTCCTGGTTATCAGTAGCAACAGTACGCTAAAAACCAAGGCTTGCTCAAGTAAAATCAAGTTGTAAAAGCAGCTTTTTCTAAAGGCTTGTCTGGTGTGTTCTGTTCATCCAGATGTTGCAGTAATCTCCCCTCAAGATCCCGTCCTTAGAGTCGGCTCTAGTTTGACAGCCACATGCACGCTTAGTGCAGAGCTGGGCCTCCACCCCAGCTCATTATTCTGGACTTTGAACGGTGTTCGTCTGTCAAGCAGTACCTACAGCATCGTGTCCTCCAACATCCTGAGCATTGAGCTTCACAGCCTGAACGGCTCACAGCAGAGATCCGGAGACAACCTGATGTGTCACAGAGCAGATGGGCGCATCCTCGCTGGTTCATGTCTCTATGTGGGCAGTATGTAGAAGCTTGGTTGCTTTTGAATTTCTTTACATTTTGTTAATTTATCATTTGAAAGCGAAAATCACTGTGCAAGATGAAAGCTATAAAACAGAACAAGTCCTGTTTTCAATTTTCCTTAAGCCATGTAGGAGACACTGAAAACATGAAAG